TTTTGCAGACGTTCAAAAGATTCTCCTCCTCCGGTGCATTGATCAGGTAATTGTAGATGTCTGGACACTGCAGGTGTGGTACGTCGTCTTGTTTTCAGCGCTCTTGAAAAGCACCCCGGGGGCATTTCTACGGGTCAGTAATGTTTAATCTATGGAGTTTTGTAATATAGCGTTCAGTGTCAAAGTGAGAAGTGAACTTGAGTCATCTTTGCTCATGCTTTTCCTGCCAACATGGCGGTCAAACAAAATAGGTCACGTGACGCCCGGAGCTCTAGAAGATAAAGATGCTGAAATGCTCCATAGATCTGAGGAAGACTGTGGGGGTGATCATTCTCTGTGGCGTTCATCTCTACGAGGGAGGGACCTCCTTCACACAGACACTGTGATTTGATTCATTGAAAATTTATTAATATTGACTCCCGCAGATTTAAAATTTTTTGTGGTTTCATTTCTGATTGAAAATACAGGCCTGTTTTACAGATGTTAACAAGAGTCACTGATGTAAGAAAAATGTTTTACAGCGTCTGAAAACAAATAATTTCAGGTGTTACTCCAAGAACAAATCCCATCCACTGACGAAAACTGTTGTGCAGTTGAAAGCTCTAGTTTTCACCTGTGTTTTAAAATCCCTGCCACTCAATTTAGAGTGATTATATCTTATATCCTACATTTTGTAATGGACTGCTCATCGCTAGAATTTGTTCTTTACACACATCAATAAGTTAAACACAATAGAAGCAGTTTTGTGGTACACACTCAGCCTGCCAGCAGCTTAACGGACTTCATTAATTACTTTCAGTCAGCAGCTCAGTTCAGTGCTTCTCCAGGTTCCCACCAGCTGGACGGTACACACACACACACACACACACACACACACACTAACATCATCCTGGGAGGAATTTCAGGCTGGCATCCTGACCTGCCCAGACTCACTTAGTGGACCGACTCCAGCTCTGACCGACTGTGATTATCTTTGCAGCCCCCTCACTCTGTGCGAGTGTGTGTGTGTGTGTGTGTGTGTTCTTGTTTTGGGAACTTATTCCCAGATTGCATTCTACATATGAGCTTTGGCTGATTTCCAGGAGCCCACGCTGTCCATCTGCCAGACTATACTGTCCTCACACACTCGTATGTATGTACCGTGTGTGTGTTTGACTGCGATTCCAACCTGCTGGGCACCAAATGTCAGATTTATAAATTCAATGCTTCACAAATGAGATGGATTTGAGATGGAGAATGGATTTCAACAACTATTTCCTGGTAAAATTGACCATATATAGTGAAATATCTTCAGGACTCACTTAAATCAATTCTCACATGCATGTACATTGAAACAGTTTGTTCGCTGTAATTGTCCTTCCTGTCCATGTGACGGGGGGACAGGATCTACTTTGTTCCACTACTTGAAGCTAATTTGAGGCTTCAGCAGTCTGAGTTCATCAAATCAAGTGGCTTTCTGTCAAAGATATTTTTCTTTTTTTTTTTTATTGTCCCCGCACTGCTGTTCACAGGGAATCACTGTTTGGGGGAAACAAAGAAAGAATTTGGTAGTGAAGAATGTGGATTAATGCCACAGTCGATCGTCTTTGCAGGCTGCTAGGTAGGAAGAAACCACCATCAATGGTTACCATCTGACTCTGATTTGGTTCTTGGCAAATAAACAGAGTGTTGCTGCCATCAATTTCACCTGAAAGGACTTACTGTCGGCTTTTGAATGAGCTGGACGCAGCTGGATAACAAGTAGTAGCTCACTTTGTAAAGTCTTCTTTATATAAAAACAGGATCTGGGTCAGTGATGTTACACCTAGAAGAAAGACAAAAGACAAAACTTGAAGGAAAAGCCAAGATATTTCTACAAAATGTTGCCTGATAGGAACTGATACATAGAAACGTAAGAATCTACATTTTGAAAGTGAGGAAACTTTGAAAAACCTGGTGATGTGGTTCCGTGAACGTTGACAGAGAGCGAACATCAAATTACATTAAGACACGAGGGAAAAGATCGTTTCATGTGTTGAGCTTCATTAGATTCAGCATCACCTCTGGCTCGCCGTCTCTTCCTGAACTGATGGTCTATTAGTTTGTTTAAAAAAATAAAACAGATGGAAAGGTTTACAGAGCTGAACACAAAATTAATCAAGCAATGAAGAAGCTGCATGTGTTTTTTTCCCCCCAGTGTTTTGTAGGATGGGCGACTCTTAACCTACACCACACTGCTGCCATCTACTGGCCAAAACAATGACCACATCCTCTGACATTTCAAAACAACATAACCTTTAGACTTCATACACAGTATAGTTTTATTGTTTATATTAAATCAGAAAGATAAGCACTATAACATACGTTACAAACTAAGAAAATTTTATATCTTGGGGGGGGGGTTGACATTACAAAACAAAAAAAACAAAAAAAGTAGTAACACTAGTGGACAAAAACATTCTTTAAATAACAGAACTGTACATTTTAATATGCAACTAAAAAAAGTAAGACTCCAAAAAAAAAAAAACAAACAAACAAACAAATGAAACAGTGATACTACGTGACAGAAAACAATCACGGGCAGTTAGTACCAAACAGAGCTAAAGCTAAAGGGAAGTGGCTATAAGCTGATACAGGTTACTGCTGGAATATGAAAAGTCAAAATACAACAAAGTAAGGCAGCAGAAGGCAGGCGTTTAGACAGCAGGAAACAGGCCGGGGCAGAGGAAGGAATAAACTAAAATATAATCAAAATGCAAAGTGGCTCCATCACTTACCCACTGTCTTACAGAGTTAACAACAGAGCAGATAAAAACATATAACAGCTGAAACTGAATATAAACTCTTATAAAACCACCTCGTGAAAAAACCCCATCACCTCTCTTCATTTTGTATTTGACAGATAATCACACTGAATCTCTTTCACACACTCTGAAAGAACCCACAGTCCACACAGTGCAGGTATTACACCTTCTGACTGACGAGTAGAAAAAAAAAGAAAACACACAAACAGTGCCATGCAGCATTTTGCCTGCAATCCAAAAATGTTCCATTAAATCATTCACTGCAAACGCTCTTGTTCTGACTGTCGATCAGTTCAATGCAGATGAACACACACTGTGGACACTGGACACATGTAATATTGTGATTTCTAGCAAATTTGATCCCGCACATTGTGTACGCTGCATAATGTACAAGTTGCACCTGTTCAACAGGTTTCGCTCATGAATTGAAAAAAACGTTGCATAGCTAAAAGGAGCAACATCAGAAGCAGCTCCAAATGCTTTGTAATAATCAATATTAAAAATAGCTCTCTGACTTTATTAAAACAGACACTAGGGGGCACTCAATGCCCTAAATGGCCCAGTTATTACATAATCAACTGTAAATATGAGCTCATGGTCAAACCCAGAAAATAAATGTCATCAGTTTTCTCACATCACCTCAAAAGCTAACACCTGTTGCTGGTGTTCTGAACTGTGTGTATGTGCAATGACTACTTTTCTTGTTAATGGCTTCATTCAACTTCTTTGGGTTATCAGGTAAAAAAAAGAAAAACATAACACTCTTACCTGGTATAAAACTATTCGTCTACACAATGTGAACCAATTAGTGCAAAAAAAAGGTTAAGTGCAATGTTACATGATGTCCGATGTCCACATGATCACAGTCTGCTCTCTGAGTGAGTCAATCTGACTGCTCAGCCACAGAGAAGGGGAGGGGGGGGGGTTTACTGTGCTGCCCTAACACAGGGACAGGAAGCCGGATGCAAACAGATATTTGGGACATAATCGATCCACAGTAGCACAGCGCATGCCCTTATTCACAAGATTTAAAGTACAGTACAAGCGCCATTACAAGTTGGTACAAAATGTAAAATAAAACATACGCAATTAATGTACATAGAAATATTTTTAAAAACAAAACAAAAAAACAAAACAAAAAAAAAAGTCAAAAATGTGAAGTTCCTTTCTTAAAGTGGATCTTGACACTGTCCCAGTGCTGTCAAAGTTCTGCCAGAGGAAATCACAGCTGACTCTTCTATGACAGAGGAGGGGGGGGGGACATCCATCCATCCAGATCGCACGGAAAAATATAGCATTTATTTAATACATCTTAGAATTGTATTTCTTAATTAGAAATTCAAAAAAATCTATACTCTTTAGTAATATTTACTTATTAAAATCTCATCTTTGTAAACAGTTTGCCCTTTTTGTCTCTAGTTTGAAAACTCTAATCAGACTGAAAGTGAGGCTTGTATATGTATGTTGTACATATATATTTATAAATCGGTGGCAAACATTTTAAAAATAATCTCATACCAAAGAAATGCATTGAAAACAAAACTCTAATTCCTTTAGTCTTCATTTCTACCATGATTGCTTGAGAGCATGAAGCAGCCACGACACAGCTGGATTTTGCTTCACCTGAAGAAAAGTGGGCTGCCAGATGTTTCACCAACAACACGTCACTGCTCAGCTGTGAGCAGGACCTGCAGCTGGGGGCTCCCATTCACTCATATTATTGGAGCTGTAAAAAAAAAAAAAAAAAAAAAAGATAAATTGCGTGTTGGCATTTCTGCTGCTGTTCAGCACTGCAACAGGGTTGCTACGGTGTGTAACCATGGCGATGAGGTTGCTATGGCTTCAGGGGGGCCGTGAGCTGGTGATGAGAGAAAAGAAGCTCCTCGACTTGGGCTCCTCGCTGTATCGTCTCACGTGTTCGTCCGAGTCTTTTTTGGTTGGAGGGGCAGACGCAGGGTCTCAGAGCTGGACCTGTGGATCTGCTCCCAGTGCTGATTTCAAACCCTTAACTGCATCACTCCACCTCATTTAAAATAACAACTGACAAGTACAAGCTGTGTGAGGGTAACTTTGCATGAAGCAGGTGTAAACAGTGTTTGTTCACAAGTCTCCTCCTCTAAAAAGTGTGCATGACTGTGTACACGGTGTTCACGTCTTTCACATTTAATGAATCTTAGTGGCAGTGGATGCATGCACAGTGGCCCTACAGAGATTGTTAGCATGCATATTCAGATCTGTACACTCTATACACTGCAAATCCATGTGTGTGTGTGTGTTCTTCCTTGAAACCTGTGACAATCTTTACATTCAGAGTCTGTCACTGCGGAAAGTATCCTCCACAGATGGGTCCGGTAGCACCATGTCCGGATCGCTGAGCATGCTCAGGCCGTCCAGGCTAAGGGGCTCGATGCGCAGCTCGTCCTCCAACGGGAAGCCTCCCTCTGAGTCAAAGCACTCTGGCACCGTAGAGAGAGCGCTGCTGATGTCCTTTGACAGACTGGGGTTGGAGTCATCTGGGAGAGAGAAACAGATGACGGTGGGTGAATGTTTCCTCCAGTCTGGAAAACACTTTCTCTCGCTATAGTTAACAGTCTCACTGCCCTCGCCACTAAACACATCCAACACACTCCTCCATTTATGACTGTTGCGTTTGAACTTTAGCCATAATTAGACCCAAATATCGGCTTGCAGCTGGAGCCCGAGGCAGCACAGACACACAGCAAATCTCTTCCACACCAGTGGTGGTTGAAAAACATTGTCCAATAGCCAGTCTCATTACCTTTAATCCAAAATCATTTCCCTTCGTGTCTTAGATCATAAATATAATCAAAGTAGTCAAACATCATTAATTAACTGAATCAAATGACTGCATGTAATGTGAACAGTCATAGCTCTGAAGCTCTGTGGAACTTTTTAGCCTCTTTAATAGGGCTGTAACAATTCTCCAAATCCACGTTTTTTGTTTTTTTTGCAACACACAGAAGAACTTTACCAGACTGACTGTAAGGGTGGACGATCTGGCCAAAGGATCATATGACAATGTTGTTGGGTAGATTCGCTATCTATCATCTGAATCACGCTCTGCATCCTGTCCACTCTCATTTCATTCTGAAAGTCCTGACTGGAAGTTGTGATTCATATCTTTCCATCGGACTGTGTGTCTGTCGGATTGTTTGGGGAATTTTCTGCCCTTAGTGGCTAAACATCAACTAATGCAGATTTAAAAAGGCAAACAAATAATTCAGTCAATCAGCCTGTTGGACTGACCGGTGAGTATAATGTTGGGTAGTCCTCCGCTGCAGTTGGAGTACAGCATGTTGGACCTCATGTGCATGGGGTCGTGCAGGCTGCCGTGGCTGCCGCCCAGTCCTGAGAGAGCAACCTGAGAGTAGTAGAGCGATGAGGAAGAGGATGAAGGGTCGAAGCAAGAACCCCCTGCTGTGGAGCTCATTGTGTTTTCCAACAGACTGAACTGGTCCAACTAGACGGCAGATGGTGGAGAGAAGAGACACATGAGAATCAGTCGTCGTATTCACCCTTGGCAGCATGTTTGATGTGTGTCTTTGAGTGGTTTACAGTGTTTTCTCATATTATTGACAGCACATTGAAAAACTTAGTGACACAGGGCTATAATGACATTAAAATCCACTGATAAGATTTGTATATATCCTGCTGATGAACTAACCTTGCAGGGAACAAACAACCTTCTCATGGGGACATGAGCTGATACCACAGAGACATCTGCCCTGAGGAACTGCAGAAAATCATTTCTTGGTTAAAGAAATGATACTGTTACTGATACTGAAACTTGTTTGTGTAAATGATTTATGTCTCTGCAACAAGTACATTTTGAAGTGGTGATTGTCGCCATTACAAATGTTTATATTTACGTATGTCTCCCATTAAAAACACTGTGCATGTTCACATCCATATTGTCTGCATTTGTTGGCCTTCACATCGGAGCTGATAAGGAAAAACAGGCCAACAAGTCTTTATCCTTGTTGCGACAACTTAACCTTGCTGACATGTCTCTGTGGAGATGAACTCTGACTGAAAATACGTGCACTGCTTTGTGCTTAAACATTCATACACTGTGTGTGTGTGTGTGTGTGTGTGTGTGTGTGTGTGTGTGTGTGTGTGTGTGTGTGTGTGTGTGTGTGAACTGGTACCTGATAGGGGAGGGTCTTGCTCTGGCGATTGGAGAACTGAGGCTCCATGAAGGGGTCAGTGAAGAGTGTTGCCATATTGTTGTGCTGTCATGGAAGACACAGAGGCCCAAAACATCAGATTGTCATCAGACAACAAGTCGTCTGCAAGTTTGTGTGTTTATAAGTTTAATTATGACGTGTGTGATGTAAATAAATCACTTTTACAGTGGTCCATTGAAGTGGAGTAGACCAGGCTTTAACAGTTGGACAACAATGTAATTATTGGGACTAAAATCAAATAACCATTAAGCTTCTCTTGGATTGAAATGATCAGTTGATTAGTGGATTAGTCAATCAACAGAAAATTATTGTGAAATCAGGATAATAGATAAATTGTCTCAACAGTTTATTATTGGTTCCAGCTTCTCCAAAATGGATTTGCTGCTTTTTCTTAGTTTTATAATTGTAAACTGAATATTTTTAAGTTTTGGACAGTTGTTCAGACAAAACGAGACATTTGGGAAATACTTATGGACTTTTTCCATTATTATTCAAAAAATTACAAAAAAAAGAAGAAAAAAAAAATCGATAGATTAATGAAAACTGTTTGTACACCTGCAGGTGGAACATTTGGCAGGCACACTTACACAATAAAAATAGCATATGTGTCTACACCTATCTCACCTCACCAGCCTGAATAACTGTTAATGATCAGATGTATGAGCTGTGTATTCTCCACGGTACTGATGTCTTTATTTTCAGAGGTATTACTGAAGTTTACATTTATAGTTACATAGACAAACATTTGCAAAATATTTCTATCTGTTATTTAGGTCCACTAAGTATAAAAACAAACTACAGAGTAGCTGTAATTGCTCAAATAAGTGCTGGTTAACAGAACTACAACACTGAATCTAATCTCCCAAACTAACCTCTGCAGGGAGACAAAAAATAAAATAACAAACTAAATCAACAATGCACATGTTGAGTGTTTCTGTGCCCATGTGCACACACCCAGACAAAGGCGGCCTTCATGGCACTTACTTGGCTCGTGTTGAAGTCCAGTGGGATGCTCTGAAGAGGGGAGACAGGCTGCTGTTGCTGTTGCTGCTGTTGCTGTTGTTGTTGTTGTGACTGCTGCTGGTGCTGGTGCTGGTGTTGCTGTTGGCGTTGTCGGCTCTGGTCCACTGCGTGCTGGGATTGTTGGTAGAGTGGGTAGGGTGGGGGCGGCTCCCTTGGCATGTTGCTGGTATCCAAAGCAACTCCCTACAAAGGACAGAGGAAGCCAGCAGGAGTCACTACAGACTGACTACAAGTTTAATAAAGACTTGAAGTTTATTTATTCTGATTGCAGTGTCATTACTCAGCTACACTGACCCCATCAAAAACAGGGTAAAAACAATTGCGCCAGTGTTTTGCAATGGCAGGAATTTTACTGGGGATTTGGATTTCATTTTATATAATTGAACTTTTTCTCTTGTTACAGACGTGTCGTAGTGCTACATTATTTCTGACAGCAGGTTCTTTTTCTCTCAAGTGTCAGTCTACAAAATGCAATGACACTGAAGCCAAAGTTCAACACAACACAACCACAAATGTATTATCTTTGTTTATCTCCACACAACAAACACTACAAAATGAACAATCCCTCATCTCACCGAGGAACTGTGTGACGTATGTGTACCTGTGTGATGGGGGACAGTGAAGGGGACATGGTGGGAGACAGCTGCTTGGCCAGACCCCTGCGCTGCTCAGCGCCTGGAGACAGGGTAAGGGGGCTGATGGGTGCGGGCCGTCGCCGGGGGGAATTGCTGGACAGACGCAGGGATGAGTTGATGGAGGGATTGCTGAGCGAGGACTGCAGCTGGCAGTTGTTGAGGGACGCCTGAATTGAGGGATTGCTCAGAGAGGAGGAGAGTCCTGCCGGGACAGTAAAGACAACATGACAACAGGTTCATCAGAGCGTAAATGTACATTTACAATGAAACTAATAAGGCAGCTATGGATCCAAAGCAGATATTGGCCCTTAGAAACCAAGGAGAACATGTGGAAGTTATGATGTAGTATGCACTTGATTTTCCAGTGCGCTCTCCAGTCTTAAACCCAAAACACTAGACTTTTGTGTGATTGGAGGGAGAGAAAGATGGAGCGCAGAGGAAAGGAAAATGAGAGGACAGAGAGAGACTGAGGGGAAAAGAAAAGAGCTGATTGTAGCGAGCCAAAACAGGGTCAAAGTTCCTCTGTCACTTTGGTGCTCGGCCAAGCTGAACTGTGTTCGACACGGCAGCCCAACCACACATCCTACTCACAAAGTACAGAGAGGAAAGACTGAGAGGGAGCAGCGGTGGGTGTGATCCGATCAGGCAACGGAGTTCAGAGTGAGGAAGTTGGAGACAGAGAGATCATTCAATGAGCTGCCCATAATGCACGGTCGGTCTGCTGGCAGAGGGAGAAACCTGGATCCTGCTCAAAACACTGGAGCAGCGGTTCCCAACTTTAAGGCTAAAGCTGAAACAAACCTTCAGGTTATTAAACCTACAAAGACTCAAACCCCAAAGATGAAGATTGACTTCCACTGACATGAGTAAATTCAGATACCCCAAATCCAACAAGAAGAAAAAATGACAGGACCAAAACATTCATCAAATACCATGAGTCTGACTCATGTCCAGTGTTTTTCAAAAAAGGAACTAAGAGTCACCAAATGTGGACAAAATGGTGGATTGAGAGATTAAGTGAATAGAACAATAATTTTAACTCAAAACATAAAGCGGTAAGTGATACTGTTTGCTCAAAGATTTTGTCCAGTTTATATTTTTTGGGGATCACTGTAATGACTTTTAATTCAATAATAACTTAAAATATATTTTGCAAAAAGAAAGAAATAAACAAACGTCAACAAAGCATAGGAGTTAAATGTGGAATAGATTTCATTTGTGTCTGTGTGCCTGCCAATTGGGGAATGAGGGATCAAAAATAGGGACACAAGTCAAAAACACACACGCACACGCACAAAGCTGTACTCCACCCACCCTGTGAGTTGCCGATGCCTAAGTGCATCATGGCGGCCGGCAGGTTTCCGGTGCTGCTGCCTCCGCTGAGGTTGGGATACCCTCCGTTGTCCTCAGGGTCCAGCGGGGTGGAGAGCGGGGAGGGGAAGTGAAGGTTGCTGAGGTCGGGCAGGGAGCCGCCGGTGTTTAACGAGCCCTGGTAGTGGGACAGACCGGGGTTCTGCTCCGGAGATGGGAATATACTGCAGAGAAGGTGGACAGAAACACACCGACACTCAGAATCCACTTGAATTCATTTAAATATGGTGCATAATTAAAGGCAGGGCCACTAAATGTGCCTCCAATGCTGTTTCAAATTGACAAGATGTTTCTTTGACTCCCATCCACTTGTTCTAGCTGCTTCTTTTTTCCACCCACTCTCTATTTCCTCTATTATTTCTCCAATTTCCATTTCTGCTCATATGCTGCATTAACAGCATATGAGCAGCAACTGTGACTCATTGTTGTCTTTCCCCACACACACAATCTTGCACAACAAATGCTTGCCTCCACAAACACACAAACAGTGTTTCTCTCTCGGGAAAAGAGAAAGTGTGAAACCAAGAAGCCAAAGCAGCTAATTTATCACTGTTTAATCATTTATTTCCACAATAAACAAGAGGGTTTTCTAAGAGTCTTGAATCTCATAAGGCCCCTCAGAAGACTGTATCACGGTCTGTATAATGATAATAATAATAATAATATTGATATGAATTGTAAATCTCGTCTGATCTGTATCATCTACTGGCAACATGACACGTCCGTTTGCTTCTAAATCACAACGTGACACAGGAGGTGGTTTACAGTTAGAAAACAATAGTGTTAGCAAACTGTCGTTGAACAATGCCACTGGAATCTGATGGTAATAACTCTGTTCCTCCGAGTTAAAAGAGTTAGAGGTGTAAAGAGGAACACAGACATCCTGTTCGACACGGTGGGAATGTGTGGCATTTCATTTCTAGGATTTCATTGTTTCTGTTGACCGACCGCCTGTGGAAAACGGCCATATCCTATTTTGAGTGACAGGAATATGATATGGGCCACAGTGGCATTAAAATGTGTTGTGTAACGTTACAATGATGTGGGTCTTACTTGATTCCAGGCACTTCACAGGATTTAGGCCTCGATGCCAGAGACTGGACCTGAAGCAGAAACACAAAATTACAACTGTGATAGAAAGTGATGCATATTAAAAAAAAAACAAACAAACAAAAAAAAAACCTTGAACATTCATTTTCGCTCTGTGCCTCAACCAGATCATAACAATTCTGATCAGACATCAGTGCTCTCATTCCCCCAAAATGAAAAACCTGTGTATCTCACTGGAATCATTTGTGGAAGGTAACATGAGGAGGGGATTTCTGTGGCACTATAAACTCCCCCAGGTGTAACCGCATGGGGACAGAAACAAATTCTTATTTTGACAGTGACAAAGAAACTGGATTTAATGTGGATCGACCCTGATCTGCATAATGAGCTCAGTATCTGTGCAGATGCTGGTCGGATCAATGTATTTTTTTTTTTTTTATATGTTATGAGCCACATGGCGCCTGAAATCCACCACAATGTGGAAAGCTTCACATTAACAAAGATACTGTTCTGCTCCAGGAACCTGAACCATCACCTCATTCTGAGTTGGGCGCCTCACCCGGGAACTGAAAGCAATGTCTGGGTCCAAAATATGCTGATTGTCAAGAGCGCTGGGCATGACAGTTTGTCCTTTATCTCATGTAATGTGTAACAGTGGAAGATGATCGATCCTGCGTCAAGAACAATTCGTGAGGCGAACTGTCATGACTTATTTCCTCATGCCTTTCCTCATCTAGTTTGACAGCATCTATGATTCCCTCCGTCATGATTTGGAGGCCAGGGCTGTTGACATCCCCGATCCTAGAAATCTGTGTCTGGCTCGTCCTGCCCAATCACCTCTCTACCGTCACACAGGAAAGACTGGTTCAACGCGTTCAAGCATCTGACATCTCATGACTCAGGCACGGCAGGAATTTAAGGTGTCACAACCTAATTTGGCATCGTGACCATTCTACATAGAAATGAATGTAGGGAGGTCTGATCCCGTTATTACACTCACTGTTTGGAGGTTTTTTTTTTTGTAACTTTAAGCAGCAGTCTCACCTTCTTGGCCTCCCACAGCTGCTTGGGAAGGGGCTTACTGACACCTATTAGACTCTCCTCGTTAGCCAGGGTGGGGAAGGAAAACACTGCAGAGAAGAGGGTACACTTCAATTGAATGTTTTCTACCGATGACACGATGATTATTGAAGAAAAATGCTACTCACCGTCTCCGGAGCCATCCACCTCTGCCTCATTCACACTGGCTGCATGCCAGCCTCCACGGAAACAAACACATAAAAAAAGAGGAGAAGGGGGGGGGGTGATAGATGAAGAAATAAAGAAAGACATAAAAACAAAAGCAGAGGAACATTAGAGGATGTTCAATATTAACCAGCTGTTTGAATCATTCCGACATGTCTGGAACAATAATCAGTCCCTGTGACAGGAACAGGCTCGATGGAATACACTCCGCAATTACTGTGCAGTTTCATAAACACAACAGCTGGGCATCTGGCATCATGTTATTAGTCGCAGAGATGAGGAAAAGGGGGGAGAGAAGTTGGGTGGAGGGGGTCACAGACTGATGAGGACTAAAGAGAGGGCCATTGTTTTTCCTCATGCCACAAAGAGGCTCTTTCTCTTCCTCTTCACTGCAGACCCCATGCCAGATACACAAGCCTTTGTCTTCTCCTCCTTTTAACTTTTCTCTATTCTGTCTAACTCTTGTGTTAAGCAACAACACTTCCTGCGCACTCTGTTGCTTATTAGGAAAAAAAATTTTGTTTCTCCTCTCCGTCTCCTCATCATTCACTTGAGCTCAGCTTCTCTTACATTAGCCTTTGATCAACTGCCCACCCATTCCTTCTTCCTTCCATGCTCTCATTTCTCTCTGAGGCCCATTCATTTTGAGAGGCAGCTTTTCATGCTGCAGGAACAGATGGGACAATGAGGCGATACAACAAGTCTAGCATCATTTCTTTCCCCTTTTCAAAAGGTGTCTGGTCGCTGTTGCTCGCAGCGGGACAAAGGACAGAAAGGACAGAAACAGGACAACTGGGATGGAAAATGGCTGGCTGGTGTCCCTGGCTGGATCTCTTACACCGTGCAATGCATTCAGTTTGTGTGTGTGAATGTTCAGGATTAAGAGAAAGCTATCGCTGTGAAGAGCATACCGGCAGTCAGAGGCCTGTCAGCTGCACAGGTATCATTAGATCTCCTCTGACTGGTGCTGCTCCTTTTCCATTGAAGAAAAAAAAAAAAAAAAAAAAAGAGACACCAAAAAGACTGTAGCTGAACTCCTCTGCTCCTAAGTACTTCCACCCCAGCACTGTGACTCATAGCTGTAATTCCTAGTTAGATGCTTCTTTAATCAGTGAGGGCTTAACACCACTCGAAACCAGCTGAAACCTTGAGGTGTCAACGAGGCCCTGGGGCCTCACAGCTCTCTGCGCTGCTGTGGCGGCAGCAGTGAGGCGATGAGGAAGCGCTGCTGATCCCCCAACATGAACCAGGTTGGTGTCATAGCCTCTTTTAGAGGACAGGATATACAGCCTGTGCAGCTATGTGCACTATGTGCTGGTGGACTATATACAGCAGGTTATGCAAGAAGACAGTACTGTATGTGACAATCCACAGGCGGCCGATCTCGTCTTTGAGCAAATATAATTAACTCCTGACATGTACAGTTCACTATAACGGCCTGATTCTAGGTCTGGCAGCTTTGCACTGAAAGAGACACTGCACCAGAAACTGATTAATGGACAGAAAATTAATCAGCAAATATTTTGAGAACTGATTAATCGTTTAAGTCAGGGACTGTGGGACGCCCCTCAGACAAACCTTGGAAAAAGGCGCCTCACGCCACCTTATAGTTTACCCACTTTGTTTCACTTAATCCCTGGATGGTATCACTATTATGTTATTTGATCCCATAGAGACACAACAATTGATCCAATACTGCCCGATACTGCTGTTTGATGAACTTGAGACTAAACCAAATACATAAAAAATGTCTGTCCTAAGGCTTTTATTAGTTTCTGACTCTGGGAAAAACAGTAAAATTCCCCCAAAACTACTGAATCTCTGATCTCTCTCTAACCGAAAAACACATATTTGGGCTAATTTTCATGATCTCCTTTTAATAACTAATGTAATAACATTTTTTCCTTTCCATTTATTAAGCCTCTCCTGAAACAGTTTGGACCCCCCACGGTGAGGCCCACCCCCCACTTTCAAAACCTCTGGTTTAAGTATTATTTTAAGCAAAAATGTAAGAACACTCTGATTCCAGCTTCTTGTGTGAATATTTTCTGGTTTTTCCTAATAAATCTGTGAAAGTACATTGAATATCTTTAGGTTTTGGACTGTTGGACAGGCATTTGATAACACCAGCATGGACTTTGGGAAAATGATGATGGAACCAAATGATTAACTGAGAAAATCATTATCATAGATTCATCCATAATCAAAATAATTGTTGCAGCCCTAAAAAGACTGACAGGAGATGAGAACAACAAACATGAAGCAACCATGCACATGAAATACCTGGTGTCACACACAGCAACATTTTCAACTGAGCCATTTAAAGCACAACAGGCAGTGTGCTCTAATTCAAGTATCTATACTGGGCTGATTCTGTTTGTACGTGAAATTCATACTTGGCCCAGATCTTAAAGCAATATCCTGTATAAGCTTGTTGGCTAAACACAGTGAGCAGTAATCCAGTGGAGGAGCACTTCTCTCATCCAGTCCACACTTCATCAGGGCTGAGATCAGACAGAAGTGACAAACACTGTCAAATACACAATGGATGCTCAGATGGAAACATCTCAGCAGAGAAGCGAGTGAAGAAGTGAAGAGATGAAGAGTGTGAAAAGAGAAGAGAGGAGGATGAATTCTTTTGTCCTTGGACCAATTACAAAAGGTATAAACACAACGTTGCTGTTGGCCTGATAGTGATTTGTGTAACTGAGCTCAGAGCAGCTGGCTGGATGGACTGTGTTCTCTGTTAATAAATGACCAGAGGAACAGAAACACAAACACCATAAACTAGCATGATTACTACAACATGGACCCAGTATAGGAGCAGCCTGCGTACTGCGTGTGACTGAGAGGGTATCTAGTTTAAACACACGTTGGCTCTGCGCTGCAGTGACCAGGACTTCTCTCTCACCTCGATAATGCACTGGATGAGTGTCAGAGGTAATGTCTCTGTACACTAGTGGATCTGAATGAGTCTCTCTAGACTGTTTCCTGCCCCTGTTGGTGGTGCGCATGTCACACTGTGAATATTCCACCTCCTTCTAATCTGTTAATAGATTCTGTCAGCTCTGCTCCTCATGGTCACTCACACTCACTCCACGAAATGAGAAAACATAACACAAGTTTGTCTCACAACAGGTCAGCAACACATGCCAGACCGAGTCAGTACATTGCACCCAAATCAATCCGAGCAGAAATTTGAATACATTTGTTTAAACAGGACTCCTTTGTCAAACTAGAAAAATATAGGAGACTGCAAAGCTACCACACACACACACACACACACACACACACACACACACAGTGAACTTGTGAGCAGGCAGGGGCGGTCGTTACACCCTGGCAGTGTAAACACCTCGTACAAGTAAAGCGAGCTTAAACATATGACAGTTTTCAGTAGTCTGCGACAAACGTTTTGAAATCATGTTGTAAAGAATGAAAAGACACAGAGTGAACACTGTAAGACCACTTCATTATTACAACTAAATCATTTAAACAGCATTTGTACAGGAATGATTGTGTCCCAAGCTTTTTGATTCATAAAAGTGGCTGATCAGTGTAACTGTGATCATTATAAGCGGTTTCCACTGAAATACAGTTTTTACTGTTTTGTCAATTCCAAATGTTTTGCTTGTAGGGAAAATCAAAGCTGCTGCTAGTAGAACAGTACATGGTTTAGAAAAATCTCAAGATTTAACAAGCTCCCCTAAAAAACTTTTAAGATATGCAGTATATATATATCGAAGAATAATTTGTGTGTGATATGAATTCTGAACTTAAAAGGTGCAATTACTGTTCATTTAAGAGGTTTAACTGCTGAACATAAAGTGTCTACTGCAATGAAAAGGCCATTTTCACTCTGTGTCCGCTAGAGATTTCAAATGTCCACGACACTTGTGTAAGTTGCATATTGGACCATGGGTGGATTTCCCCACTCTCCTTGTGCTTCTGGTTTCTGCACATACATCATTCTGAAGCTCAAACATCCAGGTATAGTAACAATAAACAAAACACATTTTTGAGTGATGGAGTGCTTTAAATTTTCTACACAGTTTTTGCTTTAGTCTTTCAAGGCCCTGGTGACCTTGTCCAGATGGAGGTCTGATGATGCAACATTAGGTGTAACGGGAGGATGAGATCAGATCAGTTATAGAAAAGATTTGCTGGGTGATCCCTAGGGTGTTGGGATAATATATAGCTTTTTGTGTAGCTACAGTAGAGAGAAAAACTAAACACAACGCAGTAAAAAGACAAAATGGACTGAATTATGTACAAATGAGCTGATGTTTAAGCCTCCGTAAGCTGATGTAGACTTAAAGTCACATTAACTAAATAAAACAGCCAAACAGACACACAAGTAAAAGAACTGCTTTCTCTGAATCTGAGTATGTTGTGCTGTGTGTGTTACTCTCACCATTTCGCTGGGGGGGACCTCGACCCATCTGCTGGTTCATGCCAAAGGGGTCCTGAGGGTTTGGGTTCATAGCGCTCGTATGGAGAGCAGAGTCTGAATTGGTTCTGTGTAGGAGGAAGAGGAGGGGGGAGGAGGAAGAAGAGGGGAATTATGCAAAGTGTTCCAGCACCTTGGACAGAGGCAGAAGATTTCTCAGGACCATAAGGTCAGTGAGTCATTCAGCTTCCTGCTCTGCCTCCACACAGGCTGCATTCATCTGCAGGCTCACACTGACCTTACACATAAACACCCTCACAACACAGGACTAATTCTTCATTAGTCTGTGATGAAAACAGGTTTTGGCTCAGAGATGAAATAATAATCGTAGTATAGCATAAACATGCTGGTGTTTGTTATCTCTAATAATACTGATACGGGAAAACACAGAGAAACTGACAAGTCTGCAATATTTGTAAAACCTCTCAACATGACATGAAGATCAACTGTCTTTAATGCAGTTAATAAAGGTTCAGAAATATCATTTTCTGGACTAATTTGACAGGGATACAGTCTATATGTTTCCACTAGCTGTTTCAGTACTGGTACTTCAATAGTATTCAGTAGAGCACATACCTCCACCAAGGCCAACCAATCCTACACATTCCTGTCAGATCCAGATTATTATCTGCACCAAACTGTACAACGTCCTACATCTCAACACCATTAACATGTATGATTTTTTACATTAAGATCTAAACATTATTTCCTGAGAAACTGATTAAAGTGTTGGGAGCTGCCCAATTGATTCAATTTAAATAGTTTAAATTAAGAGCTATGAAAGATTATTGGATTCGAAATCAGTATCTTCTTGGTTGTCTGTCTAGAGTCCAATATGAGCTGTAAATTCACACATTTACACATGTTCACTTGCACTGGCCAACCCACACAAACCCCTGAGTCCTATATCTCTCCAGCTGAGAGCTCCGTCTAGTGCTCTCCATTAAGCCTCAATTGCTTCTTTCATGCGTCACTCTTAATTTTCTTCTACATTGTCGCAAATTATTATAATCACACTCAAGTTTGATCAATTCAAACCTGGCAGCTTTTAAAAAGCTGATTTTTTCCCTCAATTACAGCAGAATTTTCATAATAAAATGGCCTATAATCTCCTCAGATTTTAAAGCTTTTTAAGGCCTTAACATCATTTTTATACATTGTTTGGTTGCCTCAGCAGATGAAAAGAAATTGATTTAATTATAAAAAGGTAAATAAGAAATAAGTAAATAAACATATACATTAAGATTATACATAAAGATCCCGAGCCAGACTGTCTAAATAGTTAGTTTTTTTTAGTTGTATTATAAATTCAAAACATGTCAGCGAAACAACATCTATGGAAAATCTCACAGTCTGATGTTGGACTCTCTGTTGTATATGATGGAATTAATTTGCAATGTTTTACATTAAACAAAAGGTCACAACAAGTCCGACATCTCATTTCACTGTGGCAACCATTTTGAGTTTCATCACGTGTTTACAGCCTAAATTAGTCATCTGGTAATAATACTGACAGAAAATTACATTTATTCACCATCTTAAAGAGAGTTAAGACGATCAATATCAATTTAATCTCTGAGCGTTAAACATGGTGTTTCACCGAATTCCATGTCAGATGTGTTTTGTTCCTTTAATCAAACATATAGTTATTTTGAATCAATTTTATCCACACAGAGCCTTAGCTGTAGTTTTTTCTACAGCTAAGGCTACAAGTAACAATTAGTTTCACTGGTTTAATGAAGAGTTAGCTTAGCACTAACTGTTTCTGTGTAGCTGGGCACAGTGGCACTGGGCACATGCAGTATCTCAGACGTCTTGTTTTCCTCACAGTGAAGTTCGCAGCTTCACACACATTTGTAATTCTGTACAAAACCCAGCTGACTCCCAGGTGCACTGACGATTAGCTGCTTTCAGTCTTAATGTGATGCTGTGATAAACATGCTACAGAGCTACCTCTGACCTGAGCACTCACAGCTGAAGTTGGTATTGATCATCTCTTCCAACCCTCAGTAAGACAACAAATACGCAAATATCCTTCTGTATTATAAAGAAACTTTTCAAATTTTCAGGATGTTCGCTATTCTAGGTTTTTCAAAAACAAAGCTAATACTTATGTGAATCTTTTAAAGTTTGATCATGTCATTCATCTTTGTGCTGATCCCATTGCACTACCTATGTGCTGACAAACAGACAAACAGACAAACTGGACAAACTTGACAGAATATTCTTTTCAAATAATGTTTAAACACTTGGAGAAGAATGTAAAAAGGCTGAAAGTCAGAAAATGTGAATAAGGAGCTTTAATTAGGTTTGGTTAGACTGCGAAGTAGCCGTGAGTCCTGAAGCTAGGTTAGTAAGAAAGGAACTATTGATTAATGTTTCACAAATACCAAACTGGAAAGATGAGTGGAAAACTATGAAAAAAAAAGAAAAAAAAAAAGAGATTAATAAATCAACCATAGCAGCCTTTAGCTGAGACTTTGTGGCCCTCTATCTCAGTGCTTCAAAGGAAGAAAGGAGAGGATTATTGAGATGTTACAAATCAGGCGGAGATTTACAAAGGATAGAAACCAGGATGTTATGTGTGGCCAAGAGAGATTGAAAAAGAGAAAGAACAGAATTGTTGGCTTCTGTGTGAGCGAGGGATAAAGCAGTAAAGCTAGACTGAGGGAAAGAGAGAGACAGACAGGGGCGGGTGGGGAGGGGGTCAAGGGTCACCTGTTGAGTTGTGATATTAATCTAAACCCAGGCCGTTTTTCCTCAGTCCATGGCTGCTGTTCCCTTCAAAGACAGAGGAAGAGCATGACAGACAAATTTACTGGGTGAAAGCAGAGACCCCTGGCTCCTGACCTGAAGTTTAAGAAAAGGAGAAAATATCTCGGTAATAAATATTATGCATTTGTGTAAAAAAAAGAAAAGACCCTGGAAAACACTCAGATACAGCACAATACCGTTTTATATTTGAGGGAAATGGAAAGAGAGAGTAAATTAAAAGCAGAGTGAAGACAGATGAGACGGAAAAAAAATGAAGACAAACAAAGACAGGAGCACTAATGGGAAGAATAACTGCAAGCCAGGTTTATAAACCTGTAGCTGGGGGGCAGTTACAAGCTGTTCTCCCATATCTAATGGGAAGAGAAAACTGGTGCAACACAGCCAGCTCTCTGGGGAATCGGCAGGCCAGAGAGAGAAACAACGTAAACAACTTGATGTGAAGAGTCATTGTCAAAGCCTGAGACGATGAAGTGGGAACAGTGACTAAGTGGATTTTTCTGAAGCATTCAGCAAAAAAGGGGCGTTGACTCTTCCTGAGCCTGGAAGTACAGAGCAGACATCAGTTTGTTTTTCTCTCACTGCTAGAACTAGTCTTCCAGAAATACAAACAGAAGAACTCAAATGGACTTTCTATTAATGACTCGACCATCTTCTTTACAGCCCTGCCGGGGGACATGCCCCGGGCATGCTTGCTTAGCAGAAAACATCTACAAAATGTTCTTGTTTTTCAGCTTTAAATACAGAAAATGGTGGTTTCTTGGTTCAAAAGGGTCTATGGCACTAAGGGTTAAAGGATCACTCTGATTTATTTCAACTGAAAGCAACTGCTGAGATTTGGGAACACAATGATATCTATAGAATAAAGTCAGACTCAGCGAAAAGTGGAAGCAGTCAGACAATCGGACAGGTTGTAAAGAACAGTTGAGACAGGTAGTGTCCTTTCAGGCACCAGTAGTGGTAGATAAACTTTAAGCTTTTAAGTGTTGTACATGTGATGCTGACACATTCATTTTAAATCAGTCTGGAGAGCCTGATTTGTCAGGGAAGCACATTTGTGATGTGATTTTAAGGTGAGAAAATCTTTTCATATAAAAAGCAGCAATGAGACCACCTAGAGGATGACAAAAGCCCTCGAATCATCACACCACATCTCCCAAAGAAGCGGCGGAAGAAACTTTTAAATGTCTCCCCTGGAAGGACTTTCTGCAGAGGAGTCTCCAGGGAGCCTGGTCTGAGATTTCATCCCGAGAGAGGCTGGTACAGGAATAGCAGGAGCAAGATGGGTGAATGGAAGCGGAGAAGGGCGTGGGACTGGATTGAAGCTCTGACCCTGAAGCAGATGGTCTCCGAGGGGACTTATCTTGGGCTATACTCAGGTCTGATGCCTCATGCACCCCAGGATCCAGGCCTCTTTTAAGAGCATCTCTTCCCAGACACCAGCGTACAGTAATATTCTTTGACACGCCTCATTTCCAAGAAAGCACTATACTTTGAGTAGGCTCTAGAGGACAGATGGTGGATATCGAAAATCATGGCCTGACTCACTACAGATGGATGAAGTTGGGAAATCACTACTTTTTTTCCCCAAAGACAAAAAACAGCCTCGGCAAATCCAGAGAGGGGATAAGATCTGTTGGCCAGGCTGCTGGTCATGGAGCGGTTAAAGGCTATGTGAACCGCTCTGTTCCCCTGCATTTCTGTCATGCTTCACAATCCCTTAGTCCTGGCCCACTGCCTTTAAGTTTTGATGTAACAGAGGCTGGGAAGCTTGACACAAGTCATGTTAATATAAACACACAATGAGTAAAAGAAATATGTATATATTGTGTGTATTTACAACTGGAACACTTTCTTAACGGTGTATTTCAAAATACTATATAAATAACTTAAAAACACTTGCTTTATGCCAATCATTGGTGTTGGAGAAGGTGGGTCAGCAGTTAGCTGATCACTGTTGTAGTAATTAAAGCACTGAAACAGTTAAAAAGCTTGGTGGCTCTTCTCCAGAGCTGACTGGCTGTAATGCAGTGCAGATGTGGCTGGCGTTGTAAACACTTACCGCCCCACTCTCCCCTGAGACGGACAAGCAGAGAATCGGCTTCTCGCTGCAACAACACAACAGCCTGAGACCACTTCCATGGGTGGATATTTACTGATCTCTTCTTTGAACAAGAGGAGAGTGGTTTTTATATACTGTACAGCCACCATATTAGCAATAGTCTCTTGTAGAATTTTCTTCAATGGGATTTCCCAGGAGGTTACTGGAAGAGGAGCCTCTCTAATCTACCATGACTTCAGCCAAGACTCTGATTTCCCATTTCCCCTCCAACAGTGTGTTATGTCTTTACTGAAGCTACAAGCTCAGTCAGCAGTCTGAGAGTAAAAACACAACAATGATTGTGCAAAAGCAAGCTTATGTACTGTTCATTCACTTTGCCACATACGCAGGCTGCAAGACAAGGACACTCTTGTGAAATATTGCTTTTGTAATGACATTAATCATGATATAATTTGTGAAATTACCAGTTTTCAATGGGGACATCCGCTTTAAAATGCTGAGGTAGACCAGGCAAAAATCCCATGGTATGACTGGTGCCGTCTATCTGGACGTCACCCTGACAAACAGTGCAAGTTTCTTCTGGTTCCCAAAACCCTTACCAACTATTAAATGATGTTAAATTAAAATTTGATATTTTCAAGATATTTTCAACTCAAAAAAGTTAATGCAAACATGTAGTATTTTGTACATTAAAACTGCAATAGATGATGCATTTGACAACCTATTTTTGGATGTAGGGATGATGGTGCTGCTACAGTAGGGTATGATGATGGTGTATTGTCCAATTCTTTAAAGGTCCCATATTATATAAAGGTAAATGTCCATGTCTTTTTGATTATAAAGCAGGTCTAGGTTCTGTGTTAATACTGTGAAAGTATCAAAGCATTCAGTGCACATGGAAACACACTGGCTGATTGACTCACTGACCTGTTGTTACTAGAGGTCTAGAGAGAAGCCTGAGAGAGGAGATGTAAAACTACATTGAGATGGTTTTTGGATCTTGTTATGGAGCAACACTTCAAATAAAACACCCGAAAAGTGTAAAATAAGGGACCTTTAAGGAAAATCCTGGACTTCAAGTTTCAATTCAAGGCTCTTAACTGTGTATAACAATGATACTGGTCTATTATTGGTATGTGACCGTCAACTTTTCCTTCTTTATCCAGCCACTTCTTTTACTTGCTCATTAAAAAAACACACTGTAAATCAGCCATAAATCATGACAACCTGTCACATCCTGATAGGCAAAATTTCAGGAAGGTTCATTAGTCAGTTTGTTTACATGGTAGGAATACAGTGAGCTTCGAGGAATAAGAAAGAGTAGTGAGTGCTCCTCACTACTCTTTCTTATACTCTTTATTCAATTTAGCAGCTGATGGTAAGTGGATCAGTGGACATTAGGCAGAAAGATCTGGGTGTTCTCCAAGATTTGGAGTCTTGTCTGTTCGGACACAGTCAGTTTAAACCAGCACTAAGGCACTAATATCTATTTCTCTGCCTGTGACAGTGCAGTGGGCCAAAATCCACTGCTGAGAGGGAAGTTTATCCCTGTTACACACTGTGACAACAATCTGCTGCAGGTTGGAGCAGGAGGCTAGGCTTGGCCTGCAGAGACTTGACAGAGCTGATGCCAATCACATAGAAGAAGAAGGCTATGGGAGAGATGAGCATGACTAGAATAGAGGAGAGATGAAAATGTCTTTTCATTGTGACACTGCAGCTATAATCAAAAACAGGCTACGTGCGAGTTTATGTCCACAAGCAGACACCACGTGCAATCACTTTACTGCAGAGATTTACACTACAGATTCAACAGCCAAGCCTGCATGTGGCTTCATGACAGAAACTGTATTAAATGAAAATAGTAGTCATGTTTTTCCTGCTCTAACTTAAGCTTATATGACATGATGCTCAATGTTTGGTTGAGAAACAGGCTGAAACAAATCAGTGCCACTTAAATTAAATGTAAGAGTCTGCATTCAGTGTTTAGTGCCACATGGCTCTCCCAGAAACACACCCACTCTGAGAACACAGACGCCTGGTTGCTCCGTGAGGACGTTTGTCAGCCAACCTGTTTTGTGCTGTCAACAACGATGAGAGGGCGTGGGGCCTTATTCATTTCTACAGTACAAGCTGTTACAGTACGCTCGACACGGAGCCTGGCGAACGTCTGTGTCGGCGCTGTGGAAGAAGATGAGGCAGGGTGATTGGCAGCCGGCCAGAAGCCAGCATACTAGACACAAGTGTGGAGACAGAGCAAGAGTGAAAGAGTGAGTGGGGAGGAGCTTGGCTGAGCTTTTTATCACAGGGCCATAAATCACTCCCTTGTAAACACTGAGGAAAAGCTGTCCACCAATACACTGTCTGCTCTATGTAGGCACAGCCAGCTAGCCTAGCATTGTTTTCCAGCAGGTACTGCTATTGAATTTCTGCTAAGTTGGAGCTTGTGTACCACAGGGCAGTGGTACTGTGACAACATAAAACCCCTAAACAGTAGGACTACTGCTGTTGGGCATGACCTTTGAAGCAACAGGCTATCTGTCAAACACCTTTAGTTAGATGCAGCCTTCCCAGGGCTAACACAGCGTCCTGATCTGCAGAAACAATGACGGCCAACAGCTCCACCCATCACCCTGCCTCAATGTTGATCTGGACATACATCTCTGTTTGATCGACATGGCCAGCGCCTGGATCTAGAAAGAAAATACTAGTAGGCAGAGGGAGGCTTGATACAGGAAACAGGCTGGCAAGAGGAAACAGTTCCTGTTGTAAAACAATCTCATTAGAGGAAGGATAGAAGACAATAACCACTCTGTCAGTAGCTCAAAAGAGGCACTACTCACCTTCTCCAGTTATTGTCCGGAGGTGGGGACAGGTACACTGCTCCATAAGGAGAGCTCTCCATGTGGGTTTTTGTTAAGGAAATTATTGGAACAAATACAGAAATATACATACAAATACATACACCACATATTTTACATGTTATTTGATATAACCACAAACAAAGCAGAGAGCACACAGTACAGTATATTTCGAATCTGACTTGTAAAGTATAAAACCGTCCTTAGTCTACTTCTTCACCCTGACTTTTTTATTTCAAAATAAAACAAGGAAGTGTTCTAACTAAAGCTCTCAGCACAAATATATCACATACAAACTCAGAGGAATAGAGTTTAACATGTCCCAAGAGAAAAGAAAGCATTTACATGTTCTCATCAAAGCCCCATTGTGGTGGAAGACAAGTGTCAACAACAGAACTACCTTTTTCAAATACTTGCTGAAACAATGACAGCATTATTTGATTTACTACTGAATGCGGACGCAGAGTTCCTGGCATTGTCTGTGAGAGGGCAGGACTTCAGGAGGGTGGTGTTTCGTCTTGCCGAAAGTCACTCTTTTACTGTTTGCAAGTTGCAAGCTCCTCTGCTCTGGAAACATAACAGGCTCCTCTCTGGGTAGTAGTTTGGGGAGGGGTGTTGAAAATGTCGACTGATCAACACAAAGACATTAAAGCAGAGACTGGGTGCCCCATAAGGCCAGCCACTGTTCCAAACAGCGTCTGTTTAGGCCTTGGACAAATTGTTATCAGTAGTGAGCCAGATTTACAGAGACTGGAGCCCTGATATCACTCGTCACCTCTCACACAAAACATGGGATAAGCCCCTTTTCAAAAACACACATACAAATTAAGTGGTACGTGCACTATTGTGGTTTCTCCAGACGCGGAGGAAGAGAGGGAACAATCCTGTCAAACTGGTTAGCTGACAGGTTCATGTGATCTCGCTTAATACCTATCAGTAACTATGATTGGGGGGGGTTGCAGACAGAAACTAATGAATGAGCATGAAACTCCTCTATACTACATAAGAGTGTATTGGGATACAACCCAAAAATCGCCTTGTATTTCTTAAGCTAATCAGAGCCACAAACCACATTTCCATTTCCAAAATATGGCACTATGATTGGATAAGCCAGAGCCACAAACCACATTACACATTTTCATTTTCAAGATACTGCACTGCTCCCTGTCATCATTCAAATCACTTTCCACAGCAGATGATGGTCTAGTTTTAACGCTGCCAAGCTCAGTTGAATCTCAGTGGATGCAAAGCTCTGAGAAACAGGTCAACTCGGGACCCGCAAAGAGCCCTGTCCTTCATACATATTGTCAGTTTGTCAGGTAACAATACAATCAGTTTTAATACAAAGTTTTATTTTCATCTAAACGTAACAAAATTCAGCTTATTTTCTGTAGGGTAAATCTGACCATGTGGAGATTTTGGAAAATATTGGGGCAAGTTATACAAATACATATTCTACACACCAAGACATCTTTCATGACTGTCATTTTCATTTTCTGTACAGAACAGAAAAAGCGACGGACTAACCACTATCCTACATTGACCTAGAGACTAAAACTCTTCAGGTCTTGTTTTTCTGTGTCATATTTTGCTCTGGTTGTTTTACTTCTATGACTTCTGACCGCTTCTGTGACGGACATGCCTCCTCAAAACCTGACTGGACCAAAACCTGACTGGACAGTCCTGTCTATTTTGGCACCAACAACTCCCGACAGTCTCTCTCAACAGTGACCTTTAAACCATTTTGATCACACCATCTATACACAAGGACACGTGGATGTACAGAATGCTTGTATATGTGGAACCAACACCGCCCACCCAATACAGACGGGCAAACTGCTTCTGTTTTGACACTAACAAGAGCAGACGTCTATAGGAGTGCTTCTACCCAGGCAGTGTACATTACAGTGTTTTCCACATTACAGCACATATCCACAATAAACAGGGAGATTTAAGACAAACCACAGAGTTTGGTTATATTGCTCTAATCGATTTAAAATTCTGTCAGGAACTCTTTGAAAGCTTCAAGAAAGTTTAGAGTTACGGCTGCCATGGTACAGCTTGGCAATAAAACATTCCTGATACTTATCATGAAATAAATTTCCATAATAACGATAATAAACTCATGAGTAATTTACGATAAATGCATCTGGTCAGAATTTGGGCCTATTAGGCAAACGGGCTTTCAAAGCTGACTTGTGTAGGGCTAAAACAAGGGAGGAAAAACACACACAATCTTGGAAATGTGAACATGAGCGAGTCAGAAGAAGATGAAGAAACTGAGGTCATGCAACTTTGGTGATTTGGAAATGGTTTGGATTTCTAAACCTGGATGCAGGCGACCTGCGCCAACAAAGACAGGAAACACAACAAACATTCTCTACCATTTGAAAACGTGCCATCGCACAAGTATCCACAAAAACAAACGTCTGTGATCCCAGACTGCAAGCACCACCACAAGCACCAAAGCTCACAAACAAGCCTCTGTTTTCCTCAACATGCCACATGTATCCAATGACCATGACGTTATGCATCTGCTCTGATTGTTCTCCACAGAAATATACTCTGGTATGACATCACACACTGGGACACAGGTAAAACGCCTCTCTAACTATCACACACCATAGTAACAGGTCACTGAATCATCTCTGTCCCGAGGCAGGGAATAAACAGATCAGCTTATTAAAATTCTATGAGGTGGGGATGTGCTGATGGATCTGTTGGCTAAGTGGTGTTTCATGTAAATGCGACATATTAGGTGTGAATCCAGATCATGAAATTTAATCCATGTCCTCTTTACTACAAACATAACCTATATATTATCTAAAAGAACCTTTTTAAAAGAGCATTTAGCTTTACAAAATAAAATGACTGAGTGCAAGAGGCACTGCGCTGCAGTGGCTTAGATCATAAATCTAGTGCATTTAGTGTTTCCATTAACTCAACAGTTGTCGTGATCATTCACAAGAAATAATCCTTTTTGTGTGATCATGTATAGTTACAACAGGGACTGTACATGCTGGTCTCATTCAAATCCAGAGACCTTCCTTCTTTCACTTGCAGTCGAATACATGATTCCCAAGGTGCTTAAATCAACTTATTCTCATGTGCAGCTCAAACTTGAAGACAAAGTTGGAAAAAGAACCTTAATTCTGTTTCATTTTCAGGACAGTATTTCAAAGTTACACAAGACGATCCATTATTTGGTAAATGTAAAACAGCTGCTCGTCATTCAGGGTCTAAATTCAACCACTGGTTTATATGCATCTGTTCTCTGCTTCATGAGATACCTATTCTCTGTGACAAATTATGAAACACACAGCACACATGTAATTTGCTGACTGGCGACAACATTCATAGCGATTAGCTCTACATTGTAAATGGGAGCAGTTTATATAACACAATCTGAGTTATGAAATCTTACAAAGCCAGAGTTATATGACAAGAAACCATGGAAATTGTAACCAAAATGTGGCAGAAAAAGACTTGATTTTCTGCTCTCTCTCATTTCAACTGTGGGGAGACTCTGGGGAAATGAATTTTAAAGGGTGAAGCTGAGAGTTAAAGCACAAACACTCACTCCTCTGTTCCTCGCTCTGTAGATTATCACCATTAGAACAATTATACCCTTCTGGAGCTTCCTCATAGAATGAGATCTGCTGCTACACTTCTATGCAAAATACACACATGCATACACAACCTCAGTGTGCATTCAGAGTATGCTGAGAATGTCCTACTGTCAAAGCCCATTAGGCAGAAGTAAAGTGCACTGAGTCTGCATCAAACTTGAAATTAACATGATGACTAATTCTGCTCCTGAGGCTACAAACAGCTGCCTACACTGGTAAGTGTCGCCACACTTAAAGGTGCTATATGCAAGTATTCTAGTTTATAATGTTCAAGAATTGACTTAAATTATCAACATAATTTGAAGAAATAACAGTTTTGTTGTTATGTCACATATGTTGATGAATTGTGTTGCAGAGATCTCTGCTGAAGTTAGCACGCTTACCAGCTAGCCCCAGCCTCTCCTGTCACATAATACCACTTTGTGCGTCAAGAAGCAATAATGAGTCTCTGTAGTGTCCAAATTGCCCTCAGTCCAACATGAAAGGATGAAGAAGTAGTGCTGCCCAGAGGGCAAGGAACCACATTTAGTGGCAAAGAAAAGAAATGACATAAATAAAAGCAAAACAAGAGCTAACATTGGCGTTGCTCACCATCATTGGAAACAACTCTTGGCCAGTAAAGGAATGAGGTTTGATGCTGAACTCACAATATTTCTTCTAGACTGGTAATTAAATGACTGTTAATGCTTATGTTGGCTATTTTATGATTAGCAGAAATTATATATAGCACCTATAAAACCACATCATAAACACAAACCAACACTAAAAACCACTAAACAGCAACAAAAACAAAGCACCTGGAAGACACAACACCCACTTCCACATCATCAATTAACATATCATGATAACAAAATTTGCATCACATGGAAATATGTTCGTGAGATTTCCTACTGTCAGCATTTATGTTTGGAAGGATATCTGCCGTCCATGCTTGTCGATGGGTCGGCGATGCGGAGAGTTGATACGGTTGCGGTCCCTATGGACCCTCTCGACCAGCCCGTGGTGGCGGGTCCCTCTGACAGAGTCCAATCCTGAAGGGAAGCCACCCTGAGAAAGACACAGGAAGAGTCATTTCACACCAGACACATAACCCTGCAGTTTCCTACATGTTGGCAGGAAGAGAGGAGGAAGAGCATCTGACAATCACTTTGCCAAATGTCAATCAAACCTGAGCTGTATCTGAATGTGGTATTGTGCTCCAACTGTGAGAAAGAGACACAGTTCACGTTTTAATTGCTGCTAATACAGTCAACATCTGAAGCTGAATATACGATCCACATTTGAATGTCGATCATGAAGGCACTGCACACAAACTGCAGACTGGTACTTTGCATTCATTTAATTGTATTAGAGCTAACAAATGATTATCATCAAGTGGAATCTAGAAGCCTTTTAGTTTGTTGAGTTTGTTCCCAGAAGAGAAGGGGAATGGACTCAATAAGTGAGTGAAGCTTTCTACTTTCAAAAAGGGATTCATTTCTGGACCTCGCCACAGTTCTGCAATTACTGCTCTGCCACTAAGTAACAAGGGCACTTTCACCTGGACCCTCTGTATCCAAGCACAACGCACTCCTTGGAGAGCTGACACAGATACAGGCTCAGTGCTATAGAACAACACTGCGCTGCTTGAAGGAGTTCTGAGAACTACTGCACTGATTTTTTATTCCATCTTTTTGTCCAGTCTTCAGAAAATCATCTGAATTATTTAAGGCTCTCAGGAGAAGCTTGTTTGCACTTCTGAGGGTTCAGTTCAGTGTTTTGCTGTTTTGGCAGTTAGACTAGTGGTCATATATAATTAGCCTTGAAAAACCCTTGAATGAGAACAAGGCCTTGAATCGGATAGATGATAATCCCAAGGTAAGCAGGGTTTTAAAGAAAATATTCATTCAGTTTTACATCAGACATCCCTTTTGCTTAAAGGAAAGCATATGAGTACATTCAACAAAATAAACTCCACTAATTACAGAACCAGCACATCTATAAGGCCATGTCCAGACTGATGCCAGCTCTTCAACCTCCTCAACTTTTATCACAAAACAGTGGGACATCATCGCTGCAAGCACACATTCCTGGTAGATTACTTTACTTTACAACAGTGCACCTCTACTATTTACCTCATGATTGTCAAGACAAGGGACAAATTGATTGTGATACCTTTCTAAAGCTGTAAAGCACTGATAATTTTGGTTCAAACACTCGGGGAAAAAAAGGCAAGACAACTGTAAGAAAACAGACAAGGACAAACTACATAAAAATGGTGCAAGACATACACTCATAGTGTAATGCAATTCACTGCACTAATCCTGGAACAGGCACTACTGTTTTTTTCACACAGGTATTATAAGATGAATGAAAGTGAATTTGGAATTTAGTATTTATTAAAATTTTAAAAATCTTTTATTTCTCCATAAAGTCTAGTTTTGCTGGTTGTCTGAAGTTGTTTATGCATTTTGAATTTGCAGTTTGTGGTGACGCTGTATGTTTTGACTTTGACAAGATCCCACCTGAAATTCAGAGCTGGCGTTGCCGATCTGATTGACATTGGGCAGGGAGCCTCCGTAGTACTGCACCCGTGGCTGAGACAAGCGAAGCTGCTGGATTTTCTGAAACTGCACCTGTCAAACACACAACACACATCTGTCAGAGGTTATGAAGTCTGGACATGCAGTCTTGGTTTGTAAAGAACTGATATGATCATATGATTCCCAGCTAACTGTGGATGTACAGAATTCAAATGTTGCAAAGCCATATTGTAACACAAGCAGCTATTCCAGCTATAACACATTACAACTATTCGTATATTCCAATGAATCAAACGCTCTTATTATTCAATCTTAACAGGTGGAATTTTTTCTATTTTAGTAACACACACACACACACACACACACACACACACACACACACACACACACACACACACACACACACACACACACACACTCTAGGAAATGAGCAGCTTGCTTCCATACCAGCAGTCTACCAAGAGATGCCACAACGATTACCTCGCAGAAAACAGAAGGCGGTTTGTTCTGCCAAGGGAAGGTAAACAGAGCCAATCATTGGCTGTGATCAGGAATAGGCAAATCAGAGGGGCATATCTTCCTTAGACTGCCGAAAGGGCAAAATTTGAATCTCAAAGGACTAACAGATTTACAGAGAGCAGACAGCGATCTTTACAAGAGATCGTAAATATGACAGGATATTTGGGATGGGCAAGGAAGGTGTGACTAAAGACTTTTGTCAGTTTATGTGTAGTAAAAAGGGTGAAGTGTTAACTACACCGCATTATGGTCATCTAGACAGTGGTGACTGTGTTTATCCTTTTTGTTTCTGTCTTTTCACCATTTAAATTCATCAACATCTGCAGCCAGTAGACTGAAACCAAAAATAGTTGTAATAGTTACAAACAAAAACAAATTGTTTCTTGCCCTGAAAGAAGCATTTTAATTCTCAGCTAACCGTGGCCTATGGATGGCTGATTGCAACAGTCTCTGCTGACCAAAACACAGGGACAGACAGACAGATGTATTTCAGGCATTCTCACGAATAACTTAGATGTCCCCATCAGTAACATTCAATGTTCAATCTGGGACAAATGAAAAAATATGAAAATAAATAAATCCCCATTTAAACCTCTTACTCCAGTGTTGGTGTTAGCCTTACATAACATCCAACACACAGACTTTACACATTTATGATTTACAAGGATGCCAACTGCCTGCTGCACAGCTGATGAAAGAAAGCTGGAGTCTGTTTGTGCATTCAGGTACAATGTACAGTTCTCCAGAAGCCCTCTGGGGGTTTATGTTCAGTCCGTTCATCACTGGCGTAAATGTTGAAGCAGCTACTTCTAATTCCAGCTGTTTGCTGGCAGTGTGTCCTGTGCCCTGGCCAGCCTTAGTCGCACTGACTGAGCTTTTCTGTCTCACAGAGGTCACTGACAGTTCATACCTTATGGCAAACTTTGTTCAGTGTCGCCTCAAAACCACATCCTCTTTGACTGGCCATTCAGCACTCTCCCTCTCATAGAAAGAGCACATTGTGAACCAATGGTATGAGAATAATGTGAAAAGGGTCTTTATATCCTCCCATACTATTTTTATTACTTGGAATGTGTACTGTTGTTGTGTACTGGAATATGTGCACACTACTGGAAAGTGTGCAGTTGAAATTTTAATGTGATGGAGAAAAAAAGATTTGAAAAAATTACAACACCTTTAAAAAAACATGTTGACTCATTCTGGACCTATGTGAAATTCAGCCAGCAGCAAAAACTGCAGATAAAAATCCACATATATTTAGCTATGCAGGTTCAATCCTTCTAGATTTTAGCACTGCAACTGATGACTGACTGACTGACTACTAATCACAAGTTCCCAGAGCCCAAGGTGTCGCCTTCAAATGTCTTGTTTTGTCCAATCAACAGTCGTGAACACAAAAGAGATTTACAACTACAATGGCACTCAGTACAGAGCAGACCTCCACCAAGGCCAAATAAATCCTACACGACTGATTGTACTAAGTCACAGATCTCAACAACATTCATATGTCTGATGTTTTATATGAAGATCCGAACATTATTTCCTGAGAAACTGACAAAAATGTTGAAAAATGCCCGATCTCACAATGTTAAGGAAAGTGATAAAAATATTTCCTGGATCTGCCCCTTTAACCAGATTGGCACCAAAATTTTATTGATTCTTTGCTGGCCCATGCTCCATCCCTCCACCAAGTTGGGTGCAAATCAATTATTTTTGTGTAATACACCTGACACAAGTTTATACATAACCTCCTTGGCAGAAGTAATGATATATGTAAAAGAAAAGTGGCAAATACTCATATTTGAGAAGCAGGAAAAAGAAAATGCTTTTCTTGAAAAAGTGACAGAAACTATTATTGAATTATCAAAATAGCTGCCATTATGTTTCTGTTGAAAAATCAATTAAACTCTACTTGATTTTATGCTTAGTTAAAGCATTTTTTTAATCAAAGCAAAAGCATAATTTTCCAACAAATCTGTATTTTTCCATTTTACTGTAAAGTAAACCTGACACAATTAGTTGATAAATTAATTAGTAGATTGACAAAAAAATTATTGCCAAGTATAATCAAATTTATTCATCTAACTCCAAATATCCCCAGGTTCCAACTTCTTTAATGAGAGGATTTAATATCTATTTCCTACCACTGTATAATATCTCTAGGTTTGAACAGCGGGTTGCACAAAACAAGTCTAAATGATGAATTCATTAATTAAAAAAAAGAAAAGAAATCACCAAATGAATCCTTAATGAATACAACTGTGAGTTGCAACCCTACGTGTAAGCATGACTTTTTCTCTTTTATTTATGTTACATGCTGCTGAGAAACCACTCCAAATGGGCCGAGTAAAACTCTTATGCTTCATTTTGAGACATGAAATACAGGCTCATAAAGATAAATGTTAGCAATACCAGGGAATATAAATGTAAGACTCATATTTATTTTAGCAGAGCTTAAGATACAAAAATATGACAACAAAAAACACCTGATTGTGACAGATGTGAGTCACCATGCCTCAACACTTGGACATGTTTCTCAAAATATCATTAGTTGCTAAGTCTACAAGGGGTCACCTGAACACATGCACTGCAAAAGGATAACATCATGCCAAACAAACTAAGTGTGTGTGACTAAAATGCCCAAATTATGAACCGTCATCTCGAGTTGGTCCCACTCCCCCTCATCCGTGCAGACTGGGACCACAGTGTCCACAGGCTGCAGGAGACACATCAGGGTTTAACCCGTGGGAAATCATTAAGTATAAAAAAGACGATCGTATCTTCGTGTGCAACACTGCTTCCTTTGGGTGTTTCTATCTGTACAACCAGCGGAACTTTAGGCGGGTGGTGCTGGTACAAAATTTGACACTTTCGCATTTCCTGTTTCATGGCTCTTTGCAATACTTTTCCGATTGATAGTAATTGTTGCACCCCACGTTTTTCTTCTGTTTCGATAACTACTGATGTGTGTATGATAGCTTAACTGTGAGTTTTTCCTCTGTTGTTACACTGGGCAACGTTACTGCAGATGGGGTTTGTCACTGCTGAATGGATGCATGAAGAAAAAACAAGAAGTAGTGGTTCAACACCAGAAATCTCAGTCAGCAGACGGAGTCTATCAAACAAGCGACAGCTCACTCCAGCCGAGGCTGTCCGTAGTTACAATGAACGCATTCGGGAAACAAAACAAAAAAACTGATACATGACAGTTATTTCAAAATGAAGCGTATTTACCCTTGAAACTGTCAGGTCTGTCATCAGCTGTTCAAAGGCCCGCGTCTCTTCTGCTTGCTTCTGGTTGTGCAGCGCTATCTTTTCGCTGAACTTCCTGGGGTTTGAGCCACCTGTGCCCGGGGAGCCGGACATTGTGTGGGCCGTAGTTTTGCAACTTCAGCTACTTGTGGGGGGGGGGGGAACAAAAGTGGAAAACGGTGCTGGGAGTCTATTTTTCAAAGTCTCTCAGTGAGCCCATCAGAGTTTTACAAGCATAGAACATATTACTGGTTGGCCAAAGTTGATTCAGAGTCAACTCGGCTGGCTGCAGTTTCAGAGCTGAGTGGGTTATTGTAAGCCCGGATAGTAGCTAACGTAGCTATGCTAACGTTAAAGCTCCTGTTAATAAAAGTTGGCTTCTTAAGCTTTGACGACGGGGTATATGAAGCCTTTGCAAATTATCTGTGCTTGCAAGTTAACTTTAATAACTTTCTAGAAGAATTGCGTGTTGATTAAAGTAAGTTAATGGCACAATGTAACTTCATATTGACACACTTCCAGCGAACCACTTGTTTGAATCTAACGTTGACATAACGTTAGCTGTCATTGCTAACATAACGCTGGAGGTGAACGGAGAGCCGAGTAACAGCTGCAGCTAGCAAAGTTAGCTAAGCTGCTGTCAGTGACATCTCAACAATTTTGACAAACGCACTCTACCAAGTTGTGGACACTCGGTCTCGGTCAACATCTAACAGGCTGTACTGTATTAGAAGCAATTTGTGCCAAAGGATTTAGCGCTGCTGTTAGAGAAAGTTGTTAGCCTCGTTAGCTAAATCTCGCTACTGACATTAGCAAAGCTCAGAGCAGTTGGGCAAAGGTTTTCTCGGTAAATTGTATTTCAACAAGTGTCCGCTGGTCTTGTTCGGACTTTACTGAATTTCGAGTTTATGTTACCAACAAACTGGGAAACAAGCAATCTCCAAAAAACGCAGATATTCACATGTGATGCAGGCGCATAATCCACAATTTCACTCTTAAACAGATATCACAGCGCTTCGGAGTCGAGTCTTGTGGTAATCCACGGACAGCAGAGAGACCTCAGACAAACTCCAGCCCTACGACTCCTCCATGAAGAAAAACAAACAACGCCGACAGAAAAGATGGTTTCTTCGTCGCCGCTAAACCGGAATTCTTCTGAGAAATTGCTGCTGATGTTTTCGGCTTATTAACCGTCGGCTGACAGGGCTAGTAACTGCAACTCAGATCCGCTGGCTCGTTATCCTCATACTACTGCGAGAAAAACATTGCCTCGTTAAACAACGTCAATACCCGTTGTGTCCACCAGGCGGCGACAAAGGCAGTACATTATCATGGCTCTCTGTGGGAATAATAATAACTGCTATCTGTCTTATTATTACTATCTTTGGGAAGTTGCAGTGTTCGTCAAATTAAATTCAAAGCTTTTTAATACAACAGAATAGAATTCAATACCCTTTCACTCTCATATTGAGGGAAAACTGATGAAAATTAATCTTTTGACATTTCACTTTTGTGTCAGTACTTCCCAGTGACCTGGACCCATGTATGGATTAATGAACCAGGCCACTTGGCCTGTGTTTAGGGCCCCCCTGGCCCTTGTCCATGCCCAAGGGCCCAGGGGCCCATGGGCCCATAGGCTAATTGATAAGTGTGAAAGGTAAGTGTCAGAAAGGTAACGGATGAGGTAATCAATTAAGAATAATTAATTAATTTGTTAATTTAGCTAAAATCAAAAGCTTTCTGACAACTGTGTCCTGACAACCAAAATGACTAATGTATGACTAATGTTATTGTTTATGATAGGCAAGAAAAAAACATTCAAGATCTTTGTCAATGATTTTTAAGACTTTTCAATACATTCTAACACCTTTTTTTATTTTTATGAGGGAACTGAATTCACTGCTTTTTAAAAATTTACAAGACTTCAACATGCTCTGTTAATCCTGGGAGGTGGAAGCAGTCCTAATCTACGGAAATAGTGATTTCAATAGATGGCCTGGGTTCAAATTAAAGGACTGGTGTGTGGGATTTAGTGGCATCTAGCAGTGAGGTTGCAGATTGCAACTCCAAACACCTTCCCTCATCCCTTCCTTTCCAAGTGGTCTTCAGGTAACGTAAGGAATGCGAAAGGCCCTTATTTCATACAAGACCTCACTTATGGACCACTAGAAAGTACTATAGTCACGGCATGTGTCAGGAGCAGTAGCAATTCTACAATGTAAAAGTACTTCATTAAACATTTGTAAGTATTATTATTATCTACTTTCGCTATCAAAGGCAAACGCATTTATTGTGCACAGTATGGCCTCTGGATGTTATATTTGATTGTTATTACTGATGATCATGTAAGGAGTATTCTAATGTTAAGCGCGAGTTGATTTTGCCAGCTTTATATACTGCTGGGTGGTTTAATCTGTATCGATGCATCATTTTTACAAAGTAATCAGATGTTTTTAATGCAAAATCTTGTATAACTGTAGTGATGAAATAACTGTAGTGGAGTAAAATGTAAAATGTTTCCCTCTGAAATGTAGTGCAGTAGAAATATAAAGTAATATAAAATAGAAATTCTGAAGTCAAGTATATTACTGATGGATATTACTTGAGTCAGTGTTGACCACTGCCTGCAAAACAGCTGTCAGATTAGGGAAACCACACTGCATCTGTAGCGCTTTATTCTAAAACAGGTCAAATACACTCGATTGACTGAATGAGAGCAAATAATGTACAGACAGCTCGGTCTCCTCCACATCAGGGCAACTTTACATGAGACAGAAAATCAACATCTGGTTCAATAAGTCCGTGTGGAATCGCAATTTAAGGCTCCTTGAAATAACTCTGATACAATCACCACTTCACTAAAATGAGATGGTGTACAGTGATATCTGCTGGACCCACAAGTCTAGTTACTGTAATACTGCACATCCTCAAGCTCACTAGCTTACTCACATGATCTGCCTTAGGTTTTGCTACAGTATAATGTGGACTCACAACATATAAAATATAAATAAGGGCAACTTTATCAAATTATTTTCAACAAGACAATGTCCATCTTACACTTCTAGAGCCCATCTCATGTTTTACAGATTAACAGACATGAAGTTATGTTTACTAAACTGATGTAGTTTATTCAAGATAAACAGCCCATAAGATTTATAAAAACATTTAATTTCCAGTAAGTAATCTGAGAAAGCCAGTCACTGACCACATCTGCACAGCCTGGAGTGCAGGAGAGCTATGTCCCTTCTGCTGACGAGTGTCAGAGCCAGGAGCACAAACGTACTGTAGGTCAGTTCTGAGCATCAGGGCTGAAGTCACGGCCGCTCGGTCCAGTCCGAGACAAACCAAAGACAAACATCCTGACTTGTCAAGAAAAAGGGAAGACTACAGAGCCTGATAGTGCCAGTGTTGGGAAGGTTACCTTTGAAATGTAATAGGTTACAGATCACTAATTCCCCTGTTTAAAATGTAATAAGCTATGTAACTTTAATTACTTTATCAAAGTAATGTAACTTACTGTTTGATTACTTTTCAGTAACATTAATTTAGTCTGTTGATTCCCTGTAGATATTCACAACCTAATGGCCTCTCATGTTAATATTCAATGAAAACAAAACGCTGAAGTAAGTAAGTGAGCTCACACCTGTCACCTGTCTGACCCAGGTTGTCCACAGATACGACAGAAGGCGGCCTTCCTGCTCGGACATGTTATATTCTACATCTCAGGTTTTACCGAGCAAGATTACGATGCAACTCTTTTGTAATCTCCGACATTTTGAATAGTAAATGTAATTATTCTTCTTTTTTTTTTTCCTCAGTAACTGTAACAGATTACAATTACATTTACTTTGTAATTTAATTATGTAATACTGTTTCATGTAACTCCCCAACACTGGTGCCAGTAACAGGCTAGGTGTGAGTGGTGTAATGTCAATTTGTCATGCTATTGCAAAAAATTGAATTCTGAAGTTATTTATATTGAAAAATGTCAAGTTTTGAGGTCAACAGCTCAATATGAGCATGGCAATTGTTGCACAATTTTTTTTTACAAATACCATGTCTGATGCCACTTTCTCTTTGCATTGATATCAGAATATTTATGTGCATTTTATGTTGAGGTGGGTCGAATCCAAATCAAGAGAGAGAAATACTTTAAACTACAGTGTTTTCAAAATAAAATGTGGTGAAGAAGGAGGAGGAGTGCATCTTGTTTTTTTTTTTTTTCCCTCCACCTCTTTCAGTTTTTCTTTTCAATTTGTGTCAAGCAACAACACAAAAATCAAACACAAAAATGAGACAGTCATTGAGTCCAAGACCAGGTCAGGACTTGTACAATGCTGCCTCACGTGCTACGGCCCTGCTGAAAAGAACGCTAGCTCTTTGGCAGCGGAGATGTTTATCAGGCCTTTATCAGCCAGGTGAGCGGATAAACTAACAGCTAAGAAAGACATAAAACATGATCTCTTTACATAAAACATAATTTTTTATAATTACTCAAAGCCCATGCACAGGATATTCATAATATTTAAAGCAAAAAAATACAAATCTTAAACCTCTGACCTAACTGCAGTTACAGACAGTAACAGAGACAGGAAGAAAAACTCCAGCAAGCGTCTGTGGTTTGCTTGCTCAAGTTGCACAATGGAGTGTTCCATGAAGAATAAAGCACAAATTGTTATCCACATGATAAAAAATAATGCACATTAATTTGCATAGGCGCAAAGGAGAAGTGCAGTAAGGAATGTGTAGGAAAGCCGGGATGGTTCAAGTCAGGGCTTTCAGCGACCCCTGAAAGTGGGTCTGGTGGTTTGAATCAGTGTCTGTTGCCCTTTTCCCCTGTTTCTCTATTTCCCATAAAATTTCTTGTTGAGCAGGAAAATGAGCAGGTTGACGTTGATGGTGGCCCTGTCGAAGAGCTTCATCACCGCCACGCCTTCATACTGCAGCTGGAGGAGATCCTGACGAACAAATACAGAAGAGATCAGCCACAATCACAACCGACTATCTCTGTAATGAACTCGCTATCTACGCTGCTGGAAGGAAAACTGTTGTGTGAAACAGAAATCATACCTGATATTCTAACTGTAATGTCTCCAAGTGCACGCCCATGAACT